GTTTTATTCATATTAAATTGAATTTGATTGATATCTGCTCTAACAAAGATTTTCTTTGCAGCTTCTTCAATTACTTTCAAATTCTCTTTGATAGTTTTTGAGCTGTAGACTAGACCAATATCATTCACATAACTCAGAGATTGCACTATTCTCATATTTCTATTCTTGAATAGATATGCAGTGTATATTGCAAATAAAATGAGTGAGATTGAAGATCTCTGTGATACTTCTATTTTTATCTCAGTCTTGTCTTATTTCATTTCATCAAAGAAGAGTTGTATAATTCTTTTAGATATAAAACAGTTAACTCATTTTATTAGAAAAAATGACAGTTTTAATATCTTCAATATCTGAATTAACTTTGACTTTGAAACATGATCAAATGCTTCTTTTATATCAATAAAAACTGCAGTTGAGACCAGACTCTCATACTTTGCTATTTGAATATCATGAACAACTGAGAGAATAGTGTCAATTACAGAACACTGTTTTCTACCTTCCATTTGTTCACTGAATAAAAGAGAATCATCTATAGAGCTTATAAAAGATAGTCAAGTAGCTATTATCTTTTCTAAAACCTTTCTTAGACAGTTCAATAGAGATATTACTCTATATGACTTAGAAATTGAAGTTTTTCTATTAGATTTTGCAAGAATCACTCCAGTGGCTTCTCTCCAGCATTCAGAATGATATCCATTTTTCAAGAGATTGAAAAAGAGCTCAAAATATTCATTCTTTAAGTAGGAATATGTATTTTGAATAATCAAGTGATTAATTGAATCAGGATCTGCAGCAGTTTTAACAGAACTTGAGAAGATAGCTGACTCTAATTCATCTTGTGTAAGATCAGACCATTCTCAGTCATTTTCATCAATGTAGTTGAGAAGTGATATATTCTCTTCCTCTGAATCTGAATCTGAATCTGGTGAGTTCTGAAAGAGAATTCTCATGAAAGCTTGACATTTTTCCTCAAAAGAGTTTGCTGTATATAATTCATTCTGAAACTCATATTCTAGAGCTGGAAGTTTTGCTACACTTCTTGTTTTAGTATAGTTAAAAGCTTTAAAAACTTCCTTCTCTTATGCTTCTTCAAGAAATTTATTCCAGCAGTCTGTTTTAGCTCTTTTAATATCTGAAAAATACTCATTTCTGACAGCTTTGAACTCTTCATCAGATATTACATCATTCTTTCAATCTCTTCTAGCAGTAGCTAATTCTTTTCTTTTAGATGAGATATTCTCATTTCATCAAGATTTTGAATACTCAGAAGATTTTCTTTTTGAAATATTATCTCTAACACTTGTTAGAATAATAGATGTAATAAGCTTCACTCTATTCTCAAGCATTTCATTTGAGATATCTTGACCAGAATTCCAATATAGCTCATTCTGTCTTTCAGATTTTAACAGTTTTATACTTTCTTCAACTGCTTTTCAATCAGCTTTTTCAAAGTTATACTGATTAGAGAGAAGAGGATTTTCACTCATTTGTTTTTCACTCAGTTCAATATCAAATTGAATAATCTCATGATCTGATCCTGATGTCTCATTTGAATTAATAAACCAGTTTACAAGTCTTCTTTCCATTAGATTTTGTGATATGAATGTTAGATCTATAATAGACTTCTGTTTCATGCCTTTTCTAAAGAATGTTTGTTGATCAGACTTATTAATCAAATCTATTAAATGCTCAAAGATTCATTCAATCAGATTATCAGCTCTCACTGCTCTCTTGCATTCTGAATTTCATCAGAGATAATGTGCATTGAAATCTCCTGCAATTATAGAGTTTCTTAATGAAGTTATGTTCAGAAATTCTCTATCAATTGTCCAGATATTGTTATTTTCCTTCAATTACTTTTCATTATAGATATTTATGAGCTGTATAGTATCAAACTCATTTTCTTTATCTATAATATCACTCACCAGAATATCAGGGTCAGACATGATATCAAATCTTAGATTAAATTAATATCTTGATCTCTTTCTTTCATAGATCACTACTCTTGACTTTATCTCAGACTTTTGAGGTAAAAAGCAGTAGTAGCTTAAATGAGAAATGACATATTTTTACTCAGCATCATAATTCGGCTCCTGAAGCAGTATAAAATCAACTTTTTATTCAAATACAATTTGAAGACAAGAATAAATGCAATTTGAGTTTCTATTCACATTATTTTGAATAAATGTGATTTTTGAAGAGTTTTTAAACTTTTTTTATTGTTTTTGTTGTATATTCATACTAAAAGAGAGTAGAGAAGAATCTAATCACTATTATCAGATAGTAGATTATAACTGTTCTGAAAAGTAGGAATCTCAACTGCTTGCATTATATCTAGTTTATCACCAGAGTTATTTCTCAATTCTCTAATCTTAACAGAAGTTTGAGAATTCAAATTCTATTTACATTTCACTGGAGAATTGAAGTTTGAAGACTTAGATAATTAAGAGTTTCTTCTTTTTGAGCTTGCAGTTGTGAGTTTACTAGCTTGACTCTTCTCTTCAGTTCTAGATTGACTTTGAGCTTCATCTTTTCTCCAGTTGTTTTGAGTTCTAGAAGTAAACATACATTCTTTTGAGCTAGATGCATGTTTTTCTTTGCAATTAGAGCACTTAAGCAGAGTATGTTGACAAATTTCACCTCTTTTTGAGCATGTTTCACATTTATGCTCACTAGTTTTATGATCTCTGGCACAGAATGCACATTTTGAGTCTCTAAAACATGAGATTGCAAAGTGTTCATATCTTTGACAGTTTGAACACTGTGTTTGAGCTTTGAGATTCATTCTCAAGTCTTTGTATTCATGAACTCTTATTTTCAAACCTGCTACTCTTACTTCAGAGATCTTTGACTGTTTAAGTGTTTTTGTATATACTAGAACAGAGGCATTTCTCCTGCTTTGTCTGAACTCAATTGAATTTAGTCATACAGGCTTCTTTCTCAGTTGAATGGAGTTGTATTCTTTCAATTCATTTTTGAGAAGTAGCATTTCTTCTTCACAGTCAAAAATTTCAACTGAAATATCATGAAGAATGAATTTGTCTCACTTTTCATCTCTTTCAGATAGAATTGTTGTGTTTAGCAAAGATTCTACTGCTGACTTTCAGAGATTCTCATTCTGAATAAGGAATTCAGCACTGAATTCAGGCATTGTAGTCAGAATGATGGAGTTTTCAAAGAATGATAGCTCAATTGAAGCTATAACTGATTTTTGAACTTCAATATCAGTCATCAACTGAGAAAAGAACTGCTGATTAATTTCATTTCTGATTCTGAAAATGAGATTTGAGTTTAGCTTGTTTCTTTGCAGAATGTCCTGGTTTGAGACTTTGAGAATAAGTCTTCTATTTCTGAAGATTTGAAAGTTTTTCTCTTTTTGCATTTTCTTTTCCACTTTTCTATGAATAGAGACATGAGCAGTATTCTTCTCAGTTTTCTCAGGATTTTGAGCAGGTTTTGAGACAGCAGGTTTAGAGACAGCAGATTCAGCTGCTTGAGCATATGTTTTCTTCTGATTCAAAGAAGAAGAAGAAGTAGGAAGAAAGAAAGAAGAAGAGCAAGATGAAGAGTCAGTGATTGTACTAGGAATTTTCAAGGTTTTTTGAACTGTGTTTGAGATTCCAAGTTTGAACTTGATCATCTTCTGTAGTTGTCTAGCCTGAGTATGAAGAATTAACAGAACTTCTTCATTCATCTCACTCAGACACTGCTTTCTGAGAATCTTGCTTGCTTTTTCAAGTTCCTGTATTTCAAGAACTTGTTGTTTCTCTATTTCTTCTTTCTTTCTTCTCTTCAGAATTTCAATCTCAGGAATAGCATTTGAGAAAGCATCTTTTTCCACATCAACTGAGTGTATTTTTGAACTCATTGTTTTCACTCAATGAAAAGTTGATCAGACTGTTTCAATTGAGATATTTCTAAGTCTGTTTTCAATTGAAAAGTTGATCAGACTGTTTCAAAAGAAGAATAAAAGACTTTTGTGTATAAAACACCTGATTTTTTTCACACTAGTTCAGTAACTAGATTAGATTTTTGAAGAGCATCTAATAAACTAAAATTGATTTTTAAGATAAATCAATAAAATCTTTACAATCTCTTTCTTGAGATACAGTGAGGAAAAGTATGATATCAATTGATAATAAATCAGATAATATGACAGTTTTTAAGAGAAAAACTGATAAAAAATAAATTAATTTTTTGCAGAGAAATTGATTAAAACTATTCAATTTTATTCTAAATCATTCAATTCTTCTCACACAAGAAGTGTGCAACTCAAATCAGTTAATAAAGAGTGTAAAAAAGAATTAAGTATTAATGAAAGCTCTTCAGTCACTGAAAAAGTAATTCTTACTTAAAAGAATATGAAATTATGACAGAAAATAACTCTGTTTTTAATTCTTTATAAGAATATTGTGTAAAACCCAGAGAAAAACACCTTACTTTTTCAAGAGAAGTAAAAAACTATTTCTAAGATCTTGTTTTTTGCATTAACTGCTGCAGAAGAATGAGATAGAAACTGCTAAGATATACACTACTGTATATCTTCTATCAAGACTTTCCCTCTTCAGAGTCTTGATATTATAGAGAATATAAGTCTGTTTCTATATGATAATATAAATATTGTCAGCAAGATGTAGAGAAACTGATTATTTATATCTTAAAATAGAAGACTTTGTCAATGATTATATCAATATAGAGTTAATTCTCAAATTCAATAGAAACCTAGTGTTGCTGTTCTCAATCTCTTGCAGAATCTATTGAATATTGAGATATTAAAACTAGATTTAATATATCTCACTGTGCAGGGATCAAAGGCTCAGTCAGACCTTGAGATATACTGATTTTATAGTTGTTGATGTGCTGTTGACTCATTGTTCACTGGTTATGTATTGAATGCTGTTGCCAAGGTATCTTTTTGTATTGTTCTGCTGGGGATGGGCCAGATTGAGAGGGGTAGTACAGGGGTGAGACTTGGTGTTGAAGTCTAGATACACTGGCGGCGGACTGTGGAGGTTGCACTTCAGAAGAGTCTGTTGATTATGTGCTTGATATTATCGCCGAGGTATCTTTTTGTATTTTTCTGCCGGGGATGGGCCAGATTGGGAAGGGCGGTACGAGGGTGAGACTTGGCGTTGGTGTTTTGGAACATCAAAGATGGACAGGGTTTTCGCGGAGGTCGCTCCTCGGATATCTCCACAACTACAGGTCGGGGATCTTCCAAAATCGAGAAGATTGGTGCATATGGCTAGGTCACTTCACCTTACACTTTGTATGGCACTCTGGCCCGGGGTTGTGGTGTGGTAGGGGAGAACGGGGGATAATCCCACACAGGAGCTTCGAACAACGTCCGGTTCACGTTTGGCTGGATAACTCCACCACCACACGGGGTATGCGGTCGGCGATGGGGTCAAAATGCTCGTATGATCGAGGGCTTTTCGATGGATCTATCGGCGGGTTCTTATTCGAAAAATCGAGCGAGTTCGTGGTGGAGCGGTTGGCTGTATATAAAGTTGTGATATTTACAGATATTAAGAAGCTTTTCATAACTGTAAAGTTTAATATTGCAGAGATATTCACTCTGATGAATTTCTTTGAAATGATAGATCTGTATCAGTCTATTCTCTGACATCTGTCATTCAACTTTGTAATGCAGATAAAAGATATCTGTGTTTTCAGAAATAAGAACATGAATGTTGTACTCTTTTACACTCACAGATATGAGACTTGTATATCTTGTCTGAAATGTTATCATGAGAATGAGCTGTTTGTATGCTGTGTTCTGCTTCCTGCATTCTCTCATGTCTCTCTCTCTCTTTCTAAGAAGCCTTGTGTGTGTTGTAATTGTGTGTACAATTCTAAGATCAGTGAGTATTCATTCAGTAATTATTATCTCTGTCTTTGCAGTTTTATACATTAATAATAGTTCTTAGTTACTTCAGCATCAGAGATCATTTTAATTGAAGATGACAATGCTGTTAAGACTACTCTCTCTCACTCTTAAGCTTCTTCTGTTACTTTCTCTTTCTTCTCTGCAGAGAAGGTTGTGTGCACACTGAGTTATAAGTGTTCAGCTCTGAGTGACTTTTATTGTTTATTCAGTTCTGTGTCTCTCTCTTCTATTTCTTCTGTCTTTACTCTCTCTGCTCTGACTTCTGATTCTGCAGGTTCTGCACTCTTCTTCAATTTCTCTACACATACACATACACATTTCTATATTGGCATTTCAGTCAATCTTGTGATAAATGACATTAATGTTGTATGCAGAGTGATAGAGAAATCAGAGATGTGTGTGATGTTGTTATAAGAGTGACTTACAGCTCTTGAATTCCTTGCAGATCTTGAGTTTTGAGATTTCCTTTATTTTTGATGTTTTTCAGATGATGTAGTGTTGGAAATAGATTAAACATATAACATATGAAAATAAATGAAGTGTGTATGATAACATTTGTCTTTTACAGCTGACTTTTACAGTTGATAATTAATTCATTATCTCTTTTCTTTTCTTACACTTTTTCTTTATCTGCTAGTCACTACTCTTATATGATCTCTATATAATACAGTGTTTAATAACTAGGTTTAACAGCTTTCATCTTTTGTGATTCTGTCTTATGTATTATACTGTCTCTCTTCACTCACTCAGATCACTACAGTGAACAGCTTATTAAAACTAATCTTGTCTGATCTCTGAGTATTCTCAGAAGTTGAGATGACTTGATCTCATATATCTGTGAATGTGTCAGATAGTTCATTCTCTGTGATCTCTGTGATTGAACTAGTGTAAATAGTTGAATTCAACTCTGAATCTCTTCTTCTTCTGTGATCTGACTCATGTGTAAGTCTGCTGCTCTGAGACTGCTCTTTACTATGTTACATCTACTGTCTGCAGTGTGTTATTATATGACTAGCTACAGTCTCATCACTTATTGAAGTGTGGTGTTTGTCTGATTTCTTCATTTCTTCTCATTCTTTTCTTATAATTGTGAAAAGATTGAAATAAGTGAGATTATCTGATTTATAAGCATCTATGATTTCTCTTACTTCATAAGGCTTTTCAATTATAAGTCTCTTCTTTTTCAATGCTGATAATAGTGCTGTGAATAATTATAATCTGCTCAAGTCTTGCATCTTTGCTTTCATAAGTTATGAATCATTGATTAAGTTGTATAAGACTCATCTCTGTGATTCTTTCAATGTGTATGTTCTCAGAGAATGTGATTTAAGTATTTTATTTGACTCAAATCACCTAGATTGAAACTTCTCAGAACTCTCATTGTGTATGAGAACTCATGTTCTCATCTTAAGACTTGATTTCTTAACTAGTGAGTCTTGTATTCTTTTCAATTGAATTGCTTAGTTCAGAAGTAACTTGTTAGCTTTTGCATGTGCATGACTGATCTCTTTCAATCTTGATTCTGTGTCCACAACTGTTGTGTCTGCAACTGCTACTACTGTGTTTGTAACTGCTGTTTCTACTGTGTTCACAACTGCTGTTTCTGCTGTGTCTGCAACTGCTCTCTCTCTCATCTTTTCTGAAGCATTCTTCAGAATGCGCGGATGCAATTCATACAACAGATAGAATGATGAATGCTTGAAGACTGCATACTGTCAAATTCACATGACTAATAGCACCTGCCTGTGATATTCATTTCATAGTCTTGTAGACTTGCTTACTAGATATTTCATCAGCATATTGCTCAAGATTTCATTCAAGTGTTTCATCTTCTCATTTATCTGTGAATGATATGATGTTGTTCTATAATATCTTGTCTGTAACTGGCTCATGAAATGCCTCATCACTTCTCTCACAAGATTTGCATTATTATCAGTTAGAATCTCACACAGCATTTCATAGTTGACATAGATCTCATTATGTAGAAACTTCACTATTATCTTCTCTATTATCTCTGAAACTGCTTTTGTGACTGATTAGTCAGTAGTGTAATCAATAGCAGTGATTATTCATTGATTTTCATTTAGTGTTCACAGTAATATATCTATGAGGTTCATCTCTCATTGTTTAAACAGTTGTATTATACACTTCATCTGATATTATACTTTCTTGCATTCTAACTCTTTCTTAGATTCTTTCACAATCTGATAATTTGAGCACTCATGAGTGTACATCTGAATGTCCTCAGTCATGCTTGATCAGTATACTCTTAATTTGAGTATACTTATAAGTTCAGAGCTTTCTAAGTGACTAAATTTCTTATGCATATAAGTCATCAAGTTGTGTCTAAATAAAGATTCTAGATAGAGAGCTTCTGTGTATTCTAGATTATAATAAAGCACAATATTATTTTTCAATTTTCTCAGCTTGAAGTTCAGAAGCATCTCTTCTACTACTTTTATAAGATACTTGTTATCTGACATCTTGTCATTCTTTAAGTAAGAGATTATGATATTCACTCATTCTGATTCCTTGTATTCTCTCAGTGTGTTTAACATGAACATCTCTTGTATCTGATTCACAGAACTCTCACTCATGAAATCAGATCTGTAACTGATTGTATCAGATATCACAACATCTGATTGTTTTCAGTATTTGATATGAAGATTATATGCTTGAAACTCTGAGATTCAATGTACTAAGCATTTAAAAGATTTTGTTATTAATTATAGATAGATGAGGCTTTTGTGATCTGTGATCACTGTTATTATATACCTGTTGTTAATATATCTATCTCACAATGTCAGTGTGTGCTTGATTGCTAGTAATTTCTTTTCATATACTGAATAATTGAGCTCAGTGTCTGATAGTTTTCTATCATTGTATGTCATCAGATGCAGCTTGCTGTTCTTACTCATCTGTAGAAGAGCATCTCTGATAGCTTATTTAAATGTGTCTGTCTCAATGTAGAAAGGTTTATCATGATCTGATTGAATAAGCACTGAGAATGTTATTATACATTTTCTCAGTGTGAGAAAAGCCTCTTTGCATACAGTATTTTAGATAATTGAACAAAACTTCTTCTTTCACAGATTTGCATTCATTTCTCTTAAGAGATCTGAGAGTGATGCAGATATTTATATGAAATCCTTGATGAATCTGCAGTAGTATGAGATCAACTTAAGAAACTGTTGTACATGATATATGTTTCTCAGCTGCAGCTAATTTGCTATGACATTCAATTTCTCTGAAATGAGATGTATACAGTCATCACTCACTACATGTTCTACAAACTTCAACTCTTTCATTTCAAACACACACTTGATTGATTTGATGTAGAGCTTATGCTCTGTCAGAGTTATAAGCACTTCATTGAGATGCTTCAGATGTTTGTTGTATGAGTTTGAAAAGACTAGAATGTTATTGAGATATATGAGATATGAGATTTCATTCTGTTTATGAAGAATCATATTCATCATTATTTGAAAGATGACAGGTGCATTTGTCAGACTGAATGATATTATCAGGAATTCAAACTTCCCTCATTGTGTATTAAATGTGATTCACAGAACTGACAGTTCATCTATGTGAATCTGTCAGTATTCTGAGAGAAGATTAATCTTTGATAGATATCAGGCATTTCTGACTGTATTCAACTATTGTTGAATCTGTGACAGTGAATATTCATTCTTGATTATAAGCTTGTTAAGTGCTTGATAATTAATACATATCTGTCACTTCTCACCTGCCTTTTTCACAAACAGAACTGGAAAGTCTTACATGCTTGATGAGAATTATATGAGACTACATTCTAGAAGATCAGTGATCTGATGCTTCTGTTCTTTGAGATATGTTTGTGACAGAGAGTACACATTCTGATTGACTGATTTTGTGTTCTCTGTGTCAATCTCATATACAAATCCTTGTTCTGGTGACAATTCTGATGAAAGATCTGTTCAGAAGATCTTTTCATACTTCTTCAGAAGCTTCTTCATATACTTATTCTTCTGTATATTCTTTATCTTGATTTCCTCTGCTTTCAGGTCTCATATGACATACAGGATGCTTTCAGATAAGATCTTGTAAATTGTTCTCTTTGCTTATTAATGTGTAAGCAGATTTAACTCTTCTATATCAGAGATGTGAAATGTCCTTCTCATATCAGTTAGTAGAATTGTATGAATCATTTTCTTTCTATCAGTCAACTGCATATGACTTGTATGTCATTGAATCTGCGGATTGAATCTTTGAAATCAATCAAGTCTGAGAATAAGATTGTATTTCATGTTCTGCAGCTCTCATACTCAAATATAGCAAGATCATTCTCTGAAGTGCAAGAGAACTCTTACTCTTGCAGATGATATTAACTATCAGTTATCAGATAATCTTATATGTCAGAGATTCTTCACTCAGTGAACTTCTTTCAATCTTTGAATCATATAATTATCAATATATTGTGTAGAAGCTTCTGTGTGTGCTAACACTTTTGCAGCCATCTCTCAATTCTTATTCAAGTACTCTCTATACATTAACATTTCAGGTCTCAAGATATTGAGATAAGCATTCACTTCATCATTCTCACTCACATCTCATTCAGAAGTCTGCTTCTTCTTTGCATTCACAGAATTCAGAGAGTCATCTAATACAGATATCTCTTTCACTTTGAAGACTTTTCATAGAATATCAGTGAGTGTCTCTGAGCTCATTAATTCTGTTAGTTTTTTGACTCTCTTACTTCTCTTAACTGTGTATACTGAGTGCAATCTTTCATATCATAATTTTAATATCTGCAGTTGAAGCAAGCTTGATGCTTATAATATCAAGATTTCTACTCAGAGAATCTCTTTTTCAGAGAATTCAGTGCTTTAGTGATGATATTCAGATCTAGATTCATTATATCTGAGTGTGTGACTTATATTATAGAAGTCTGATTATCTGTTCTTCACTGAGATATACTCAATTGCAGTATTTTCTATTGTAATTGACTCACTTGTTTCTGTACAATGAGAATATTATATACTTTCTTCACTATATCTGACTATGAGATTAAGCATTTTCATTTCACTCTTAACTCAGATGTAAGATCATGAATAAAGATCTGTAAATAGAAAGATATTGAAAGCTCTTCATTTAATACAAGATAGTATAAACTGAAGTGTGTGAAGTATAATATAAGATCACTCACTTATCTACACTCAGTGAAGTGTTCATAACACTTATCTCATATATTCACTTTCTCAAAGTTGTGTAAGATTTATTTGAAAAACTCATTTCATATTCATGAAAATGAATATTGCTTCAGATCTATGAGATTCATCTTTTCATCAGTTATTCACAATGACTTTGCTTTTTCATGTAGAAATATAGCAGATCTTAAAACTTGTTCAAATTTCATTGACTGTCTGTCTGTGAGTTCATATTTAATCTGATAATATAATTACATCTGACTTAGCTAGCTGATTGCAGCATCATTTTGTCAGTCATTATTAAAGCTTGATAACTTCAGCAGATCTCTTAACTTGATGTATTTCATACTCAGATTCTCATTCTGCACAGCAGTCTCTGATGATGTGTATGCTTCTGAAGAGATTATGAATGATTGTGATGAAATCTTCAGATTTAATATAGTTATCTATCTGTGTAAATATTCAATCTTTCACTGCAGATCTAAGATCTGATTTTCTCTATTCTTATTGATAATAGCAATTGTGTCAGTGAAGCTCTTCATAGTAAATGCTTAATTTACAGTGAATGTTAATTATTGTTTGACTTTCACCACAGCCTGCCACTGTGTATGCAAGGCCTTGATCTTGTTTAGAATCCTTGTATGTATACAGAGCTTTGATTTCAGTTTGACAGTCTCAGCTGCTTTTCTTACTGCTTTGAGTAAACTCTCTGAGAGGTTCTGTATATCTTCCAGTTCAGGTAGCAGAGAAGAGTGTTATTTATATCAGCTAGAAGAGATATTCATTTCAGTGATTTCTTGTTAATTATACAATGTCTATCATTATATCACTTATATCATTATATTACTATATCACTGTATCATTATATCACTATATCATTCTATCACTATATTATTATATGATTTCTGTTATCATCATATAACTTCAGTGATAGCCACCTCTTTCTTTTATCTCTTTGAGTGAAGAGCAGTCTTCTTTGAATCTGATTCACTGCTCTCATTTCTTTTCTCATATCTCATTTATTTGCATACATGGCATTCACCTGAGTGTGAAGTTTTCCCTCAATAAGCAAAGCAGTATCAATTGAATGCTCTTCCACTTATCACTCTTTATATGCTATCTTTTGAGACATTCTAGAACCACACTGACATGATAACTATGAATTACTTTGTAGATGAAATTATCATGTTCTGAAGAAGCCTGCACTTCTCACCAGTTTTTAGACATGCTATCAGATGTGATTCAAAGGTTGCTTAAGCCAGTATACGATTACAGGCATACACCGGCTTCTTATATATTGTAATATCATACACTAATTTAATTAGTGGCCGCTATGGCCCCCCCTTTACACTCATACGCGTACGCTAGTAGTTCGGAAGCGGCCGCGTTATTATCCGACGGTCGTACATTCTTCCGAACCACATCTGATCATCTCTTAGAGTCTCATCAGAGAATCAGATACTGAATGCTTATTATCTGTGATATAACTCACTATCATGAAGTATATTTTTTAAAGTTCAAGAATGAGACTGTTCAATACTTTAAGTTATGACTCAGATTCATGAATAATCTCAGATATACAGTTCCTGCTTTTCTACAGACTGATATTGATGATGTTTTTCAATTCATACATATGCACACAGTTATGAATTTATATGATATTAAATGAGAATTAACAGTATCACATTCATCACATCAGAATGGCATTTCTGAATGTGAAATCTACACTATTATAAGACAGGTTAGAGCTGCTCTTTTAAAAGATAATCTCTCTAAGAAGTTCTGAGCAGATGTTCTAGAGACAGTGATTATAATAATCAATAATACTCTCACATCTACAGTTCTTTACAACTCAAAATTTTGATCCTCTACTGCAGAGACTTCTGTGATTTCAAGTTCATATAAGATTTCTTAATGTACACTTATAAATATCTCACTGAATGTGAGGCATTTTCACTGATTAAGTGCAGAGGTTTTTATTCACTTGCATGAATCTCAGAGGCCGGCGGATAAGCTCTCTTCACATGCTAATTTCTATCATATCATTGAATTCAGTGACACATTGATATATCATCTATGACATTCTGAATCTGATAAGATTATTGTCAGTAGTGATGTGAGATTTTCAATCACTGAAAAACTGATCATTACATCTGTGAAACTTATTAATCATATTATTGAACCAGTTGTCACATCTGTGACACTCATTAATAATGTCAGCGAACCGGAACCGGAACCTGATATTCATCTGATTGATGATGAAGATGCTTCTGATATTGATGATCCGAATTCCACATGATTGCGGCCTGCGAAATCGCTGGCTACATATACTCTGAGCCTCATTACAGGTAACCTCCCGAAGTCCTAAAAGGACACCACATCATGGCCAGAGAGAATAGAAGATTATTGAAAGAAGTTCATACAATGCAAGATTACTGACCTGAAGAAACATAATACATGAAGTTTGATCTCTAGATCTGATGTTCTGAGAAGTGAACTGATTACTCTGAGTCATTGAGTGTTTCTTGAGAAAGATAGGCCTGTGGACCTGAATGCTGATCCTGATAATATTCTTAGAAAATCACATTAAGTGATTTATAGTAACTGACTTAAGAAGAATTCTAGAGAAGAGATCTACACTTCTGTTATCACTAATACTGTCAATCATATTCTTTTTATAATAGCAGACTTCACAGTTGAACACTCTGTCAAGTGAATATAGTGATGATATATCTTCATAAGTGTCTCACTAAGAAGGTCTATATGAGATAATTTACTGAATTTGAGACAGATTCGCTGAAAACACTTGTCTGCATGATTGAGAGTAGTCTATACAGTCTGAACCCTGCAGTGAAGATCTGATATGATTACTTAACAGCTCTGTTAAGTGATCTTGAATTTATAGTCAGTGTCTATGATTCAGCACTCTGATATCATACATTCAGACATTATCTCTATATGACAATCTACATTGATAATCTCAATATCATATTCAAAGCTTCTGAGAATGTTAATTAACTAGTGAGTATGCTCAGTGAGAAATTGAAAGTCAAGAATCTATATCAGTCAATCAAGTATTTGAGTATGAAGATTAATTATTCAGATAAGAGAATTGATTTAACATATCATCAATATATTAAATATCTTATTAAAGATTTCTATCTTGATGATACAGCTGTTATCAGAACACTGATGAAGAATGGATTCTGTATTGATGATTTCTCTATATCTGAGAAAGAGGCTGATTTCATAATTTAATGATATTAACATAATGTGAGTTGCTTGTAATATCTTGCAGTTAAAACACATTCTGATATCACTTATGCTGTCTTGCTACTCACTCAATATAACATTGATTCATTATCTCAATGTTGAAAGGCTCTATTACATGTTATATATTATTAGAAAGAGATCATGGATCTGGGCATTTTCTACAGATGCAGCCTGTATGAGAGGTCTGTTTCTTCTGTTTCTTTCATTCCTTTCATTCCTATCAATCCCTCTGTTATCCCTGATTTCCCCGACAATTCCTACCTACTCTTTGGCTACTCGGATTCTGATTGGGCCGGCCCCTTAAATGGTGATAGGAAATCAACATTCAGCTACATTTTCAAGCTCACATATGACTCAATTTCATGGCATTCAGTGAAGCAATCTTGTGTATCTCTAAGTTTCAATGAGATTAAATATATGGCTCTTAGTGAGACAGTCTATGAGATAACATGAATCTGAAACCTCATAATTGAGCTTGACTTCATCACTACATCTTCAATACAGATTCTCATCAATAATAAGAGTATTATAGATCTCACAAAGATGACAGTTATTACAGTCTGAAGCAAACACATTGACACACATTTTTATTTTTCATGTTGACAGTTGAATCAGAGAATCATTGATTTAGAATATATTCTCATCACTTAGATGATGATGAATGAACTCACTAAATCTCTAAACACTGTGATATTTGCATACTTCATGATTTTACTAGGTCTTACAGATATAAAAGTTGAGAAAGTTTAATTTTACATTTGTATTTAATTTTGACAGACTATCTTGGTGATTTGAGTGTTTTTGTATGTGATTCTTGTTATCTCAAGAGAGAGTGTTGACTCTTACAGCTGTTACAGTTAGCAATCTCATTAGATCATGTGACTCATCACTATATTATGTTCTTGTAGATAGATCTATCAATACACAATCTTCAACTATTCTACAGAAAAGTTGACCTTGCTAAGTGTTGATGATTACTACATCTACTCTAATTACGTGCCACCTCAACCTATTCATTTTAGTATAACTCGCGTAGATAGATTACACATATATAACACAATAACATTATTCTTCAAGAGGTTATAAAGCTCTTTCACAAGCTAATAAATAACTGTAATAATGTGCTAAATTAATATCTTCATACATCACTATAAGCATGTCTAGATAATTTATTAATTAATTAAACTTATAATAAATCTGAGATCAGGTGAAATGTCTGACTTAATAAAGAATTATATATTAATATATAGAAGAAGAAATCTGTAAATATCTAAAGTATTGTCACACTTCCGGCCGCGCCAAGGCCCTGCTGCAGTTTCACACAGCTCATCACTTTCATGTGAATGATTTCATTCTGTCTGAACTGGTTTTCAATCACTCTATGATATTATTCAGATATATCATAGAAAGATCTGATTAATAAATATAAGAACTCTGCTTCTATATAAGATCAGCAGATTACTCTTTCTTGATAGTAAGACACTACTGAGATATTGCTTTAGCTATTTATACTTATAAAATAAGAGAAGAGTATTCACTCATTATCTATATAGAATAGCTAGATACTAACTCTTTATCAAAGAAGTCAGTAATTCATTTTTCTTCTACTGAAATATATATAAGAGTTATTACATTTCTTATATAATCTTCTTAATATACTAAGTATTATATCTATGATATTCTTATAATAACTCTGTAGTCTATAAGCTCATTATTTAAGTAAGATAGTCAAGCTTATTTATACAGCTTCTTAAATAACTATCTTTATATAATACTATTAACTAGTCATCACTTTAGTTCTATTATATTACAATTTGAATCACTTAATCTGATTATAAGTTTGAATCAGTTAAGCTTTAATAGACTGATATAATCTTATATATCTATACTAAAACTAACTCAATCTCACTCTTTGAAGAAAACTTCATATTATTTTCTAGAGTATATACATCTCTATCTTAGCAGAAATCTGAGATTTCTGAACTTACTATATATTTTAATATAAGTTTTTCAACTGTTCTACTATTGCTGCAGCCTCTACATATCTATATCTATTATAGGGATAGAGAGATTAAGATCAGAGATTCTTTTAAATATAAGAAAAATATAGTATCTAAATTTCACAGCTTTATCTATACTCTTAAATAAAAATTTCATCTTAATCTGAGCCAGTATAATACTTATAAGATATAAGTAATATACACTGTCAATCTTCTTAAAAATATCTCTGTGACTACTTGAATTATTAAGAAGAGAGAGCTTGAGCATATTAATACTATAATAACTTAAGAAGAATTCAAGAACTTTTTACTGAATTAAATTAAAGATTATTATAACTATAGCTTTACAGCAGTATAGTAGTTCAACTCATTATATTAATAAGATAATAAGAATTCTTTTAATTTTAATATAAGATTTAAAGAATATTGAAAGAAATTAGCTGATAATTTAAATTAATTAAAAACACAGCTTTATCTTATAAAGCTGACTTATAAGATACAGATAATAATATTATAATATCAGAGTTTATTAATTAATTGTACTAAGCTTATCAATCTGACTTCTCAGATCTATTTGAATAATTAATTCTTTGAGAATGTGACGGGCTGCGTCTGATCAATTATATAGACTATTTCATTACATTTCATAGATGCTTTCATTTTCAATCACTGATTCTCAGCTGCTATGAACATGTATAATATACACTCTTATTCTCAGTCATTTCTGATTGCTAATTCTCAGCTGCTATGAACACATGTATATTCTTCCGCTCTGAAGCTTCACTGCATACATTATCACATATATGTATAAATATTCATCTCAATTGCTGATTCTCATACTTTCTCTTTCTTTTCTTCTTTAACATTTTTATCTTTGTTGAATAAGATCTATTAATATAATACTGATCTATTCAGTGTAGATCTCTTACACTATAAAAATGTTAATTGTCTTCTTATTAGAAAACAATTATTCACACATTATCTTCTCATTAGAAACAATTATTCATTGAGAGATATCTGAATGTGTAACAACATGTAAGAAATAGAGAAATAGTTAAACAGTTAAGTGAACACTGAGTCTTTAGATAGAAGCTTGCTCATCAGTCACTCTGACTCTGTAACAAGATCTTATAAAGAGAGTAAGATCTTATAAGAGAATATCAGTCAAAGATCTGAGAGTTCTGACACTCAGATATATGAGAATACAATTACACATCTAATAATCAACATCACTAAGTCTAATGATAATACGAAACTCATGAGTGTGAGTATAGAGATAATATCACAGTGACTTTAAATAATATTGAAATTATAACAGCAACAGATAGCAGACATGCATACAACTTAATAACTTTAATATGAAGAGATTCAACAATTAATCTACACAATTTCAACATCTACAGAATTAAATACAAAAGTGCTGAAAGAATACTTAGATACTTCTATATATTTCAATACTTTCAATCTCACTCTCTACTCATCATGAAGAATGAAAATCCTTGTGAAACTGAGTGTAGATGAAGATTTCATCAGTTCATTAATCAATCAAGATTGATATATCAATGAACAATTGAAGAATTGTGTGAAACAGAAGTTTCATTGATGAATGAAAACATGTGAATCAGTGTGGTGAATATCTGATAATATTATAAAACATCTTGATATTGTGTTCTGAGACACTGTCATGTAACAGAAAGTATTAGATTAATTACAGAGCATCTGACAGAGAAATACTTCTCTTATAGCATTTATCTCTGATTTCAACATCAAGATTCTAGAAGCAGATAATCAATCTTGAAAGAATTGAATAAAGATTAGCATGCTCAAGAAGATATTGACTTTTAAACTCTTATAGACTCTTATAAGTATAGACAAAGACCAGATTTATGAAGACTTCTGCACATAGCTTCAGACATTGAATGATCATCTTATCAAGCTTAAGAGTATACAGAATAGTGGCAGAAGATATTACATCTCAGTCACTTATACACCTGTACTGAAGAACAATGATACAGAGGTCATGAAC